GTTTGATTTTTGTTTTTTGAGACAGGGTTTCTCTGTAGCTTTGGAGCCTGTCCTGGACCAGGCTGGCCTCAGACTCATAGAGATTCTCCTGTCTTTGTCTCCCGAGTGCTGCACCGAGTGCTGGATTAAAGTCGTGTACCCCCCCGCCCCACCAGGGGGTCTTTTTTAAAAAAAAAAAAAAAAAAAAAAAGATTTATCATACATGTATGTGTGTGTGCCCAGTGCCTATGGAAGCCAAGAAGATGTTAAGGTGTTGGATTCCCTGGAATTGGAGTTACGGATGACTGTAAACCACCATAGAAATCAAACCTGGATTCCCGGCCGGAACAAGTGGACCTAACTGCTGAGCCAGCTCTCCAGCCCAGAGCTGAGCATAGTTTTAAGAGACTAGATTAAAATTATTGAATCATTTGGATTTTGTCTGCTAGCAATTAAATTCCAATACAGATGTCAAGCTGGGGCTTGATGTCATGGATCTGAGTGAGGCAGGGTTCCCAGCTGTGATTAACTTATAAGAAATTAGGGCCTGAGCCAGCTCAGAGGGATGAAGCAGAATGAAAGGGTTTGAGAGACTGGCAGATCTGCCCGATAACTTGAAGTAAACAGAGGACATGCTCCTAACATACCTTGACCAAGCAGACCATTTTTGTGACATCAAAGCTATTTGAAATAGTTGTAGGGCATAATTATAGTTACCTCAATCTGTCGTACTCCTAAACCTCCCAAGTCCGGTTAAAACCTACGGGTGCTGTCTTGTACTCCTTTATCTCTGCACATGCCTGCCATATTCCTCACTAGACTTTTCACTCCCTAGATAGCTAGGTTGTACCTAGATTCAAAGCATGTCTGCTTCCCCACAGTGGGAGGGCCTCTTTTTTTTTTTTCGAAATCTGTATAAGTTTTTTTTGTTTTTTACATACATGTGTGTTTGAACCACATGCATGTGGTGCTCAATGAAGCCAAAAGAAGGCATCATAGCCTCTGAAAGCAGAGTTAGAGCTATGGGCTGCCATGTAGGTGCTGGGAATTGAACCTGGATCCTCTGGAGAGTAGCCAGTGCTCTTAACTGCTATGCTATCTCTAGCCCTGGGCCTCAGATCTTTAAGTTCTAACAGGAGCCAGCTTACTGCCATTGTGCATTCCTTCCTCAGGTCTTCCTTGTCCCTGGAATGAACTTGGTGAGATTTTCTAGAACAAGGCTTAGAAGATGTGCCCAAGAGGCAACAGTCCTATTCCTGGGCCGCAGTCATCACAGCACACACGTTTGCCCCAGCTTTATCATGTTTCCTCCTGCTGCTTCCAGGGCAGACTAAATCCCCCCAGTGTCTCTGGGGACTTTGCTCCCACTGTCTTTGTGTTCTGCAGTTTCTCTTCTGTGGCTTTCTCCTGCCACCCACAGCTTCTGAACTAGTGGACACATAATGAGCTTTGACCCTGTGCAGCTCTCTTGTGCAACCTCCCAACCTTGCTTAGTATTTCTCTTAAGAAATGATAATGCCTCTTTTTTAAAAAAAAAAAAAGTCTTGATAATCTTTTCATTAAGGATGTACTATCTGATAATTCAGCTAACTTCAGAATCTGCACCTCTTCAAATATAAATGTGTATTGAGTCCTAGTGCATTCAAGGCCCATGGCTGTGTGCACTGGACATGTTCAATAAATATTTGCTGTTTGGTTTGATTTCCCTGAAACCCAAACTGAACTTTCTAACTGTTCCGAGGACTGGGGCAAATTCCAGTAAGACACTTCAAGAACCTGTGAAAAGCGGCCAACGTGATAATGCACCGTTTGTTTTTGATAAGCTTCATCCCACCTTAATTGTCACCCTAAGATGCTATTATTAGTCCAAGATCTTTTTGAACAATCCAGAGGAGCTGGAGATTCTCTTGCTTTTGTGCTTTGTGTTGTGCCAAAGCTCCATGGAAAGGCCAAGCCTTGAGTTACTCAGTAACCACAGGAGAATCCAAGCTACTCTTTGCTCCTTGCCAAGGTCTTACTGTGGGGGCCAAACAGAACACATAGCCCAGGATATGAGACAGCAGGCAAAGGCCACATGAAACACCTACCCATAAGAGTTACTACTCACACTGGAGGCTGGTGAAGAAAGGAGCTACTGACCTGAAGGAGGTCAGAAAAATGAGAGTGGGTAGGGTGATGGTGGCACACATCTTTAATCCCAGCACTCAGGACGCAGAGGTAGACAGATCTCTGAGTTCTAGGCCAGCCTGGTCTACAGAGTGAGTTCTAGGACAAGCTCCAAAGCTACACAGAGAAATCTTGTCAAAAAGAAAAAAGAAAAGAAAAAAGAAAGAAAGAAAAGAAAAGAAAAAAGAGAGAAAAAAATAGAAAGGGAACCAAATGTGATATTCTTTTCTCTCAATGGATTGTCAAACCAACCCCTAATAGCAAAGAATTGGAAGACCCATGCATGCTTCCCAATCTTGCTTCCACTCAGAGTGAAGAAAAATGATGAGGATCCTCCTGAAAATTTTTACCTGATACAAGCATTTTAGGAGCCAGAAAGATGACCCAGGAGGTAAAAGTGCTTGTGATGCACACTTAACCTGAATTCCATTCCTGGAGCTTCATACAAAGCCAATTGCAGTGGCACACACCTGGACACTCCAGTACTCCAATGGTGACACGGGAGGCAGAGACAAATTTCCCCAGAAAGTCAATGCCAAGCTGCCCTGGAATGTACAACATGACAAAAACAAGACAGAAGGGGAAAATCAACTCCCAGATAACTGTCCTCTGATCATACAGGTTTCAGAGTATATTCACAGCTGCACATGTATCACACACAGTAATGAAAGGATGTTTTTAGAGTTTTGTTTTTAGTGCTGGGAATCAAACCCTGGCTACCCTTACAGAGTCTGCACTCCCCCTCTGAACTGCATCCCTGGCCCCCTTATAAAATGTTTGCCCCCAGTTCCAGATACGACTAAAGTTTTCAAAAAAAATTAGAATGTTTTTCTTTTATTTTATACAATTATTAAGATATCAGCCAGACAGTAGTGGCACACGTCTATTATCCCAGCACTCGGGAAGCAGAAATGGGTGGATCTCCATGAGTTTGGGTCAGCCTGGTCTACAAAGTGAGTTCCAGGACTGCCAGGACTATTTTACAGAGAAACACTGTCTCGAAAAACCAAAAAACAAAAACAAGACAAAAAAAGCAAACAACAACAAAAAAAATATTCTTCATGAGAAGGGGAATACAGTTGCAAGTTAGTTTGCCTGGTATATAGCCTTTCCCCCTTTCTTGAACCAGCCTAAGATGAGCCAAAAGAAAAGAAATTTGGGATCCTTCAATGTAGCAGAAGCTGAGGGGAGCTGTGTGTGAGAGAGAGCTGAAGCCAGGCTGACAGGAAGGACTCCCAAAGAACTCTGGGTATTCTCAAAAGGCTGCTGCAGTATAGAAGTGAGCACAGAAACATTGTCTCCTGGCTGCGATGTCTTCCTGATGGCAATGTTGGACAGCTAAGAGGACTGTCTCCTGGCCATGCTGTTGTCTTTCTGATGCTAATGTTGCATAGTGAAGAGGAAGACAGGAATTTGCTTCTTGGTCAAAAACATGGTCAGGTTCTTTTTCTTTCAGAAATGGAATCCCAGGAGCATATCCCAAAACCATTGGGTTCAAGAGCTACTTTGGCTGGTAACTTCCGGGCCTTTGAAGTAGTTACTTCATGCAACATTGAAGCTGAGCTGCTAAAAAGAATTGGTTACACAAATGCAGAGGGTGTACTGTGGCTATGCTTATCTGGGATGCATATCAGAGACAAGCATACTCTACAATGTCTGCAGCCAAAGAAACAGCCTTTATGTTAATTTCTGGGACCTGGGTTTTGAGAGCATTATGAATAAACTCTGACTATCCAGAGGAAAAGAACCAGGAGGTGGGTGAAGGTCTAAGCTTTATGTGAAGAAAAACAACCAGTTGAGAAAAAAAGACAAAGAGTTTGGTACTAGCCTGGACTCCTTATTAAGTAAGACCTTGTCTCAAAATAAGGGAAGAGGGGAAAGAAAACCAGGTGAACCCTATTTTGTAGCCAGGGAAGACGTGGATAATTCCTTAGTAACACACAGAAGAGCAGCTAGAGAGAGATGTCTCAGTGGTTACGAGCGCACTTTAAAAAGATCTGTGAGTTGGGCTGTGATGATGCACGCCTTTATGCTCAGCACTCAGGAAGCAGAGGCAGGTGAATCCCTGTGAGTTCAAGGCCAGGATGGATAGCCAGGATTACACAGAGAAACCCTGTCTCAAAAATCAAACAAAACAAAAACAAAAACAAAGGTGAACCTGGCGTTTAGACAGTGGCTTGAACCTTACCACTCCCAACTGTGATGGGGGCAAGTACTCAAACCAAGTAAACAGCAGTTTTTCCCATCTGTAAGCAGAGTACAGCAACATCCCGGTAGAGCAGATGGGGTAATGTCTGGAAAGCAACCAGCAGAGATTCTGGTATTTATAGTATTTGAAATGGCACCTATCACCCTTGAATATTTGAAACATGAAACAATCCAATTGCTAACAGCAAAGTAATGTTTACAGACAATAGAACATTATTAACTAATAGAAATTATTTTGTCAGGCAGGCACCTAAATACCTCTCCTTGACCAGCAGACTGAAGTGGGCTTTTCCTACTCTTCCTTCCCAGCAACTCAGGAATTAGTCAGTCCCTCTTTTTGGGTGCTGCCACCCTCATCCTGCATAAGCCCCCCCCCCTCAAGCCTCTGTGACATAGCATTGACATCCTTGTTGCTCATCAAGTCAAAACCTTTCTGCGTAAGTGACAAATCAGAAACCACCTGGTGGTGGTGATGCACACCTTTAATCTCAGCACTCAGAGGCAGAGGCAGGTGGATCATAGAATCAAGCTAGTTTTATGTCAACTTGACCTAAGCTACTATTTTGGAAGAGAGAACCAAAATTGAGATGATGCCCCCACTAGATTGGCCTCTGGGCAAGCCTGTGATGCATTTTCTTTTTTCAGACTGGATGTGAGATTTATTACTGAACATGATTTGGTAGGGTACAGGAGAGCACCGTGAAAGCCCTCAGGAGTGTAGGGTTCGCCACTTGTCCAGGGGACCATGATTAGGAATATATTTGACCCCACAGCCATCAGGAATCAGTCGCTTCTCAGCAACCATGTCTTCAAGTTCATCTGCATTAAACTTAGTAAAGCCCCATTTCTTTGAGATGTGGATCTTCTGGCGGCCAGGGAACTTGAACTTGACTCTACGAATAGCCTCAATCACATGTTCCTTATTCTGCAGCTTAGTGCGGATGGACATGATGACCTGGCCAATATGAACCCTGGCCACTGTGCCCTGGGGCTTCCCAAAGGCACCACGCATACCTGTCTGGAGCCTACATTGGAGACAGCATTGAGATCAAAGACAGCATTGAGATCAAATTGTTTCCAAGATCCCTTAGAGCAGCCCATACAGGTAACAGGCTGCATACACTACCAAGGAGGCTGCTGTTTGCAACCACTGCACACCAGGCCCCCATGGGGAAAGGGACCTGGTCGGCTTAATTAGTTGCGGATGTGATGCATTTTCTTGACTGATGATTGATGAGGGAGGGTCTAGCTCACTGTAATCACCCCTATGCTGGTAGTCATGGATGGAAGATGCTATATCAGCCTGCTATAATGTGGCAGGCTGAGCAGCCAATAAGCAGTGTGGGATTCCCCTCTGTATGCTGTAAATATCATTGGTGAATAAAGAAACTGCCTTGGCCTGTTGATAGAGCAGAATTTAAGTAGGCAAGGAAAACTAAACTGAATGCTGGGAGAAAAATGGAGGAGTTAGCAAGAAGCTATGGAGCCATTGCTAGAGACAGAGGAACTGAAAATTTGCTGATCTAAACTGCCAGGCAGCCAGAAAACAAACAAGCGGCCTTCCAACAACAAATTGGTATGCCATCATGATGGTCTAAATCCATGTAAAACCTGAGAATCCTAGACACAAAAGAACAGAGTTAAGTATGGTTTGGTAGCAGCATTTTCTTGGGTGGGCTCTATTTGCTAGAAGCAAGCAGAGGCATGGTTCCTTTAAGAGAGGTTTTCCTGATTCAGCGGTAAAAAAAAGCCACATTGTTTTGAAACTGCAGCTTTCTAGGCCATGCTGCCAGCAAACGCTGATGAGGTCCAGCTATACAGCATTTAAATGGGATTAGTAAAAAGAGTGCTATTGGCAACATAGACTGACTGTGTGCCTAAAAATGGGACTGTGAGCATGGCTCTTAGAGGCAGCAAACAGCTCCTCCATGCTGGACTGAGTGGGGCAAGCAGGAAGAACTGTATTTCCCCTAGCAACGGCACCACTTAAGTTCATATGAAAGGCTTAGCATTTTAAGAAGCACTTCTGGTCAGAAAATAATTACAGATACACAATAGGACAGATTCAGACATAAAAGACCTCTAAATGAGTCATAGTGTTGGATAAATGTACATAGGTTTCAGAGAGAGAAGAAAAAGAGTATAGAGAGTTATAAAAAGAAGTAAATGGTTTTTAAAAAATAAAACAAAGTCTTTTTATAATATTTATTTATTTATTATGTATACAATATTCTGTCTACATGTATGCCTGCAGACCAAAAGAGGGCACCAGACCTTATTACAGATGGTTGTGAGCCACCATGTGGTTGCTGGGATTGAACTCAGGACCTTTGGAAGAGCAGGCAATGCTCTTAACCACTGAGCCATCTCTCTAGCCCCCTAAAACAAAGTCTTTAAAGAGACAGTGTAGCCATAGATTAAATGAGTAAAGATAATAAATATTAAAAAGTAATATAGTAAAAATAAATAAGCCATGTAAAGATGGAATATACACAGAGAGTCTGGATTATGTATATTATTGTATCTTCTTTGAATTTTTTGACAGTGAAGGAGCTAAGTACAGAGAGACATTTCATTGTATGGGCTGCTAAGCTAAACCAGCATGTATATTATAAAGGTATCTTGACTTCAGAATTTGGGTCTAAGGATATGTTGCTTTGAAAAGGAAGTTCTTCTTTTGTTTCCACAGAGGATGAGAACCTAAGGACTGCTTCCAGATCAATATGATTTGATGGACCAAGACACCGGAAGGGTTGCCTTGAATACCCCAAAAATACCCTTAAAAAATTACTTCGCCCAACAAAAAGCAGGAAGCAGTATGGAGACAACGATGCCCATATTCCCAAATACTGTCTATAAATGTTTATTTACACTTAAAGAGGGATATGCTATAGATATTTGCATTGGTATGGATCTTGGTTTATTGATACAAATTTAAGGTCAATTCTGTTATATGTATATTTTTGCTCTTGATTAAGGTATTGTATTTGTCCAGCTCATTTAAAATGTAGTGTATAATTAAGAAATACAGGTTAATAGATAATCATCTACAATAGTCAAGCTTGTAGTCGTGTTAGTTAGATTTTCTAGATGGACAGATATGTATTTCAGTTTGATAGGCATTCCTCAAACCTTTCAAAGACTACAGAATATGGCATTTAGAATGTTTTAAGAGGTTAAGACTTTTCATGATAGTGAGACACATCTGCTCCTGGCAGCACCAATTACTTAAAGAGAATGATGGGCATCGAAGAGGCTCCTTATGGAGTTGGTTAGCTATTTGGGCAAGAAACTGCTCTTGCCTGGACTGCTTGGTGAACTGGACATTCAGGACCCACAGAGAAATGACTGCTGAAATTGCCTAAAGAAGGTGAGAAAGCCCTTCAGCGTTCTTGGTTCATTAAAGAGTCTGCTAGACATTCTACAGGACACAGAAAAATGTGACTGAAAAACTGCCAATATAGGTGGAACTATCTTTGACATTTCCTACTTCACGGAAAAGTCTACTGGATACTATGGGTCTGTAGGCTGAAGATGGAAGCCCCAATGATACAGAAGAACTTTGGATGACTGTCCAGGCAGCAAGATGTCTCTATTATTTCTAGAGTTTTGGGAATTTCTTGCAATGCACTTCCTGTTTAGTTAGGTAATATTATATCCTTCTGGAGTCTTTGATGGAGCTGAAGAATTTATAGTTATAGTTTTCCTTAGTTATGATGAAAGATAAAGTAGATATAAATATTATAACTGTAATTCTTGCTTGATAACTGTTTTGTTATATGTAATTTTTCTATGTTAAAGTTAAAACCTTCCTTTTTTATTTAAACAGAAAAGGGGAGGTGATGTGTGATTCCCCTCTGTATGCTGTGATTACCATTGGTGAATAAAGAAACTGCCTTGACCTGTTGATAGGGCAGAATTTAGATAGGTGAGGAAAACTAAACTGAATGCTGGGAGAAAGAAGAAAGAGTTGGAAAGAAGTTATGGAGCCTCTGCCAGAGACAGACATGCTGAAACTTTGCTGGTAGGCCACAACCTTGTGGTGATGCATAGATTAATGGAAATGGATTAAACTAAGATGTAAGAGTTAGCAAATAAGAAGCTAGAGCTAATGGGCCAAGCAGTGAATTAATTAATATGGTTTCTGTGTGATTATTTCAGTTCTGGATGGCCGGGACAAACAAGCGGCCCTCTTTCAACAAAGCAGTGTCCTTCTAGCCCCTTTGCTTTAGTTTCTGCCTCCAGGTTCCTACTTGGAGTTCTTGCCCTGACTTCCTTGGATGAGGGATTCTGATTGGGGATTGTGATGAAATAAACCCTTCTCTCCTCAGGTTGCTTTTATGATCTTATCACAGCAATAGAACTGTAAAACAGACATCAACAACAAAAACAGAAAATCCAGTTGGTAGACTGCTTGCCTAGCATGCGGGAAACTCTGGGGGTAGATCTTCAGCACTGTGTAAAATGGGTATTGGCAGAGGCAGGAAGACCAACACTTCAGGGTCAGTCTTAGTTATGCCTCAAGGCCAACCTGAGATAGAGCAGACTCTATCTCAAAGAAATAGGGGTTGTTTACATATTTTTGGGTCTTACACTGTTTCCTCCACCACCCTCCCTTCCGTTACAAAGGCGCAGTACTGTAATACCTGCAGTTTCTTTCTTCCCACTTAGATGCTCTAGAGATCTTCCATTAGCGCAGGTAGAGAACCCTCATTGTTATCACAGAAAGGTAGTTCTCTATCATAAGGATGCTGCTGCTTCTTATTTATCTGGTCCCCTCTGATTGGGAATCATTTTCAGTCTTTTGCTATTACAAACTGGGTTCCAGACAGATAGTGGTAGTGCATGCCTTTAATTCCAGCTCCAACACTTGGGAGACAGAGGCAAGCAAATCTCTCTGAGTTCGAGGCCTTCATGGTTTACAAAGCAAGTTCCAGGACAACCAGGGCTGTTACACAGAGAAATCCTGTCTCAAAAAAAAAATTATCAGCAAGCATGTTCCAATTGCTGATGATGGAGTTTATGCTCATGTGCAGGTTGGATTCCTGATGTGGAATGGCAGCTCAAAGGGCAAATTTTCTATTAAGAAGTTTTGGCTATTTGCATTCCCCAGAGTAATCAGTGAAAGGGCCAGCTTCCTCATAGCTTTAGAAACGTGTGTCCTCCAGTTTGAATTCTTTTTCCTTTCTCTTTTAAAGATAGGGCAGCCACTGTGTAGCCCAGGCTGATCTCCCAACTCTCAAATCCTGCCTCAATTTCCTTATGGGTGTGCACTAGTCTGTGTATGTGTATGTCTGTGTGTGTGTGTGTGTGTGTGTGAGAGAGAGAGAGAGAGAGAGAGAGAGAGAGAGAGAGAGAGAGAGAGAAGCTTTTGGGGTGATAGAAATAATAGAGGAGAAATAGTGCTTAAAATATCATCAAAAAGTCAGGCGGTGGTGGCGCACACCTTTAATTCCAACACTTAGGAGGCAGAGGCTGGTGGATCTCTGTGAGTACAAGGCCAGCCTGGTCTACAGAGCAAGTTCCAAGACATATTCCAAAGTTAGACAGAAAAACCCTGTCCTGAACAAAGAGCAAAAGAGTTAAAAAATAAAAAATAAAAAAAAATACCGTTGAAAGTTACTTAAGTGAACAGGTGAAAACCTGATAAAAAAAATAGCATGAATATTATATATAGATAGTCTAAATAATGTTTTTTTTGCATTTATAATCTTCCAACATACTATTTAATAAAAAGGAAAGAACTGATTTTACTGTGGAGAAATGTGGCTGACAGCTCGCTTAGCCAAGTAATGAAGACCAGCTTGGGAAGACTGTCCATGTGCCTCGCAAAGACACAGGCTCAGGGCACCGTCATTCTTGTCCCCAAAAGGATCATGGGAACCTAATTGTGAGGATACCTACTGCACACCAGCAGAGATTTTCTTCAAAATTAACTGACCTATATGCTTCAAAAATGCCACTTACAATGAACAAAGTAACAAGCTGGATGAGGAGCCAGTTCACTTTGATCCCAGTAACCACATAAAGGTGGAGAGGGAATCAGCCCCACAAAGCTGTCCTCTGACCTCCACACACTAATGCCTACCATCACACACATACCACACACACACACACACACTAATAAAGTTTTAAAATATCTGCATGTTTTCTCTCTGTTGTGTGTTCCTTCTTACAAGCATGCCATAGTGCATATGGAGGTCAAAGAACATTTGTGGGAATGGGTTCTCTTCTTTCACCATGTGAATCCTAGGGACCAAACTCAGGTTGTGGCAGGTGCCTTTACCAACTGAGTCATCTTGCTGGTCCTATACTCTCTTTGTGTATATTGGTTCTGTTCATGGCAACTCCCTGACCCTGAGAAGAACCTCACATGGTTCCTAACACATGCCCGTGCTAGGTTGTGCCTCTCCATTTGCTAAAAAGGCAACTTTTCAGTTTTCTTTCTTTGTTTTTTTTTTCTTGTTTTTTTGAGACAGGGTCTCTCTATAGCTTTGGAGCCTGTCCCGGAACTAGCTCTTGTAGACCAGGCTGGCCTCCAACTCACAAAGATCCGCCTGCCTCTGCCTCCCAAGTGCTGGGATGAAAGGCGTGAGCCACCACCGCCTGGCTTGACTTTTCAGTTTTCTTTGGTCAAGGGTGATGGGCTCCTGTGAGCAACCAGCTTGACCATCTGTCCTGGAAGTATCTTGTTCCATCAGGCAAGAACTCAACATGGCTGCAGTCTTGATGCTTTCCTGTCCAGAAAGGGAAGCATTTCCTACAGTTCTGGAGGACAACGCACGTCCTCACATCATAGAACATTGAACACAGTAACAATCATTCTGGTGATAGGATTTTTAACTGTTTAGAAGAAGAAAACAGGGACTGGGTGGTGGTGGCGCACACCTTTAATCCCAGTACTTGGGAGGCAGAGACAGTCAAGATCTCTGTGAGTTCGAGGCCAGCCTGGTCTACAGAGCAAGTTCCAGAACAGGTTCCAAAGTTACAGAGAAACCCTGTCTCCAAAAAAAAAGGAGGAGAAGGAAAAGAAGAAGAAGAAGAAGAAAAGGAAAACAGAAATAACAGCCCTTTGTCTCCATTAATTTGAATTTACTTAACTCCCCCCTCCCAAACTATTAGTAATAACACACACAGACACAACTTGGCTTGTTAGGTCTTTAAGAACTATTTTGAAGTTGAGCAATGGTAGCCCACACTTTAATACTTTAATCCCATCACTTGGTAGGCAGAGGCAGGTGGATCTCTGAGTTTGAGGCCAGCCTGGTCTACAGAGTGAGTTCCAGGACAGCCAGGGTTAAACAGAGAAACCCTGTCTCAAAAAACAAACAAACAAAACGAAATATTTTTGTCATGCTGGTCCTACTGAGGAGTTACCATGAACAAGGTTCCCTCCCCCCGCTCCCCCGAACTGAAGACATTTAAGGACAAGAAGCCATTGCTGACGTCAAACGGTGGCAGACATGTACAAAGAGTTCTGTGGGGCTTTGATCCCTTTATGAATCTGGTGATTGGTGAGTGTGTGGAGGTGGCAGCTAGTGCGTGCGATAGAACAACACCGGCACAGTGGTCACCTGAGGAAACGGCTTTATCATCTTAGAAGGCTTGGGAAGAGTCTAGACACTGGCCGTTCAGCAGAGGCGTCAACATGGCGTCCCAAAGGGCCTGTTGACTGTGGTCTAGAATTGGGCTGTGTACATATGAAACTTCTTTGCTAAATAAACTTTTGAGATTAAAAAATAAAAGGAAGATATTTCAACAGTTGCTGCTCTTGTGGACAGTAAAGGAAACAGGTGTGGAGGCACACACCCGGAATTCCAGCGCTGGGAAGGTAGAAACCGGAAGATCAGGAGTTCAAGGTCAACTTTAGCTTCACAACGACTGTGGGGCCAGCCCACTGAGGTGGGGAGCCATTACAGTGGCTGTTCCCATTTGCTTCCCTCCACTTCTGCTATCTCCTGATTTGATTAATCAGACTTCTTTTTTTCCTTCAGAGCCCTCCTGAGTCAGGTACCTCCTAAGCAGGTTTGAATTCTCCGTGTTCTTCCCTTTCCCTCATAAATGTGTTGGGAGAATGAAGGGCTGTGGGCAAGAAAGGGGGACCACACTTTCCCTAGGCCTGACTGAACTTTAACTTGCCTACTAACTAAACAACACTGAGTTCTATACTTTGCTTAACCCTGGGAATTGGTCATTGGCCTTTGACCTCAGCCCTTCTCTCCTGACCAGCTCCCTCTGCCTCCCCCACCTGGCCTCTGGACCTCTGTCAGATTTAGAGGAAAGAAGCAGTTTTCAGAGCGACCGCCTCAGCCAGCACCATCTCCTGTCCTCTGTAGAAGCACATCGGCCATGTATTCCAATGGGATGGGGAGTGCGGCTGCTGGAGACAGGTAAGGGATCTCGCTGAGTTTCCTGAAGGACTCACAAGGCTGACCTCTGACACTGAGAAGACCAGGCTCTCTCCCTGGTAGTTAATGACCTACTTGGAAGATGTCCTTTCACCTAAGTCCCATCTTAAGTTCTTAGCTCCGACGCAAGGGAGGCCTTCCCATGGGAAGAGATGGGCGATGCGGAGGACGCGGCCAGGGCAGCCATCTAATTTGCTCGCTGTTCCTCTCGGAAGCAACTGCCCCTGTCTCAGGGACCTCTGACTAACGCCCAAAGCCCTGTTCCCTTTTCACAGAGAGACCCCCTCCTGGATACCACACTCTTTTGATGTAAGTGTTGAAGGAAGCTGGAAGCGAGGGCAGCCTGATCACTGTGGTTTCTATTACGCTCCCCGCTTCCATTCACATTTCCAAATGCCCCGACGTACAAAATGAGAAACACCAGACAATGGAGAGATAGGGGCCATAGCTCTCTCTCCGTTCCCTCACCCCTCCTCCGTCCTGTCACCCTCCCTTCCTCCTTTCCCTTAATGGCTCCACTTCTCAAGCGGCAGAATTGGTTTCAGACCACACAAAAATCCATACCCTTTTGCCTGCCCTCAGCCTTGACAGCCCACCAAGGCTCCCATGGAGCAGACTTCCTCAGCAAGTCTTTTCTGCACTCTGTGTCTGACTTTTTTTTTTTCCCAGAAGGGGACTGGAAGGACTCAGTGTCCAGATACAGACTCCCTTCTCATGGCTCAGGTACCTCAGAGCAACTGCGGGTAGCCTGGCCCACACTGTTAGCTACAGACATATTCTGGGGAAATTATTCCTTGGTTTGCTTTACTGAGTGCCCAGATTCTCTTGCCAATCTCACTACATCATTTTTTTTAAATTGTGGTATTATGTAGGCTGCTTTCGTATTCATGATCCTCCTACCTCAGCCTCCCAAATGTTGAGATTAAGGATACATACTCTACCACACCTGGCAACTAAACTATTTCCTTTTTTTTTTTTTTTTTTTTTTTAGAAAGATATCAAACTGGGCATTATACCTGCCTATCATCCTAGCATTTGGAGTCCGGAGACAGGATAATCAGAAGTTCAAGGTCATTCTTAGCTACATAGTGAGGATGAGGCAGTCTAGGCTCCTGAAACACTGCTTGAATCCCTAATACCTTCAATGTGAGTGAGATTATCTTTACTTTTAGTGACCCCTATTAGAAGCTATGGGAAAAAATTCAGGGTACAGAAAAGAATTAGGGCAGAACCAAGGCGAAGGCAGTAAAGGTCAGAGGGTATGGAAGTGGCCTTAACAGAATCTAGGTTAGACTAAATGAGAAGGGGATCCAGGGTGACTTCCCGGTTTCCGGCCTGGTTCAGGATTCATGGGTTGCAGGATGGAAGAGCAGATGTGTGGGTGGGAAACCAGCTCAGCAGGTCACATCTCACGATGGCAGCGCCAGGCCTTCCAGACGGGACTATCGGGCCAAGTCAGGCTGGAGCTATGGATCTGGGAACCTTCAGCAAGCAGACACTGAACTGGCTGCATTCATTCTCTTACCCTCTTGGGCAAAGCCTCCTTGGCATCTAAGATTCAGGCTATATTCCATCTGTGTCTGGGGGGCTGGCTCCCTTTGCTTTTTGTCCCTCCAGTGGGCACATGTGTGTGTTCCACTCACCAAGGGAAACTGCGTTCTCCTTTTCAGAGCAAGAACACACACATACTTCTAGTATATAACTGTGTTCAGGCAAGGAGCCTAGGACTGGTCTTCTGGACAGTGAGGCTTAGTTCAAATGCAAAGACCAGAATCCGATGCTTCTCGGGGATAAGACTGTGGTGGCCAGTGGGCATGGGTAGTCACGGTTCTGTCCCCTTGCAGGAAGGTACGTCTTCTCTTCCTGCTACTCATTGGTGCCTGGAGTTGTGTGATCTGTGATGGAAACTCTGTGGATGACATCTGCATAGCGAAGCCCCGGGACATCCCTGTGAATCCCATGTGCATTTACCGCTCTCCAAATAAGAAGGCCACTGACGAGGACGGCCTAGAGCAGAAGATCCCAGAGGCCACCAACCGCCGGGTCTGGGAACTATCCAAGGCCAATTCTCGATTTGCCACCACCTTCTATCAGCACCTGGCAGACTCCAAGAATGACAATGACAACATTTTTTTGTCACCCTTGAGCATCTCCACGGCTTTTGCTATGACCAAGCTGGGTGCCTGTAATGACACCCTCAAGCAGCTGATGGAGGTACAGTGTGAAGTTCTCTACCTCTTTCTTTGCTGGGGAACATCTCTCAAACTTCTTCATGTCTAATGATCGTGTAGGTGAACTCACTGTGGGTCATGACTCTTTGAATCATTATTTCATGTCTTAGGATTTTCTTTCTTTTTCTCTTTCTTTCTTTCTTTCTTTCTTTCTTTCTTTCTTTCTTTCTTCCTTTCTTTCTTTCTTTCTTTTTTGCCTGCATGTGTCTCTGTTGGTTCCCCTGGAACTGGAGTTACATACAGACAGTTGTGAGCTGTCATGTTGGCGCTGGGAATTGAACCCGGAGCCTCTGGAAGAGCAGCAGCCAATGCTCTTAACCGCTGAGCAATCTCTCCAGTCCAGGACTATTTTTCAAAATGACCCTTCAGTTTTTGAGAAAGGTTTTTACTATGTAGCCCAGGTTGACCCCACACTTACTATAAGTAGCTCTGACTGGCCTTGAACTTGTGACGATCACTTGGCCTCAGCCTCACGAATAGCAGAATTACAAGTATTAGCTACCATGTGGCTATTTTTTTTAATTAGTCAAGTCGTTACTACCTGAATATCTTCTTTATAAATGTTTCCTAGTCTCTCGCATCTAAAAATTATTTTACTTATTCTTATTTGAGTGCTGCAGCATGTGTGTGGAGGCCAAAGACAACTTTCAGGAGTCGGTTCTCTCCTTCTACCTTGTTGAGCTAGGGTCTCTCCTTTCTGCCCTTCTGCAGAGTCCAGGCTAGCTTCCCCACAAACTTCCAGGTGATTCTCTGGTCTCTCCACCCCATATTAAAGGAGCGCTGGGATTGCAGATGCAAGCCACTCATGTGGCTTTTTGTGGGTTCTAGGGATCAAATGCCGGCTATCAGGGTTGACAAGAAGTGTTTGTACCTGCTCACTTCTCTTGCCAGCCCATGCTCTGTACTATTTATAAATGGGAGAAGGCTGGTGTCGCAACTTCTCTTGTTAGTCATTTTCTCTCTCTCTCATTTACTCATTTTTTGAAACAATGTCTCACTCATGTTGTGATGTGGGATTTCTCTCTGTATGCTGTGAATACCTTTGGTTAATAAAGAAACTGTCTTGGCCTATGGTAGGGCAAATGAATAGAGCTAGGTGGGAAAAACTAAACTGAATGCTGGGAGAAGGAAGGTGGAGTTGAGAGAAGCCATGTAGCCCTGCCGGAGACAGATGCCAGAACTTTACCCAATAAACCACAGCCATGTAACAATACACAGATTAATAGAAACGGTTAAATTAACATGTAAAAGCTAACCAATAAGAAGTTAGAGCTAATAGACAAGCAGTGATTTAGTGAATACAGTTTCTATGTGGTTATTTTGGGAGTCTAGGCGGCTGGAAAATGAACAAGCAGCCTCCTTACAACAATATTGTCCTTGAACTTGTGGTCCTCCTGCATCTACTTTCCAAGTGCTGGGATTACAGGTGTGTACTACTATGCCCAGTTATGTGTATATTCATTTACTTTATCATCTATATGTGTATGTATATATATATATATATAGTGTATGTGTGTGTGTAGCAAGTTGATAAGAAATACCATGAAGTAGACACTGGTATCACCCTAAACCATGGGTGGAAACATTAGATCCTTACTCTGCCCTTGACTTGAGTGCCCTGTTGGCTTTCTTCAGGTTGAATCTTATAGACATTTCCCAGGTCCCCAGACCCAAAAGAATTACACAGAAACTATATTAATTAAAACACTGCTTGATCTGTTAGCTTAGGCTTTTTATTAACTAACTCTTACATCTTAAATTAACCCATTTTGTTATTTTAAGTATTGCCACAAGGCTCATGGTTTACTGGTAAGGTTCCAGCATCTGTCTCCTTCAGCAGCTACATGACATCTCTTTGACTCCACCTTCTTTTTTTAAATCTCTGCTTAGAATTTCCATCTTGCTCTGTTCTGTGCTGTGATAGGCCCAAAGCAGCTTCTTTATTAAACAATGGTAATAAAACATATTCATAGCATACAAAGGGGAATCCTACATCAGAATCTCACTCTGGAAACAAGGACAAATGACAGGGAGGTAGAAGACCCTCCAGCATGGCGTACAGTGGTCCTGTGAATCCAAGTCACTGAATTCTGGAAGTTAGGAAGGTTTACCTCTATGCCAGTGGCCGGTTTCCACTAAGCTTCATTTGTTCAGACTCAGGACTGCTCTCCACAGAAGAGGGCTCAGCTTTCAGAGGCTCCACACTGCTTCTCCTGTGTCACCAGCACAGTGGACAAGAGACTCCTTTCCCTGTAGTCTGTTCCTGGTGCTCTTGTGAACGACGGCAGGCAGCACATTAGAAACTCCTGTCACACTGTTGCCTCCTGAGGCCTATTGTAAGCTTCCCACACACTGGCATCAGTCTCAAGCAGCTCCTGTCCCTGTCCCTAAATGTAAACTTAAATGTGATCCTTCCTATGAAAAGCAACAAGAGCTGGAGACGTGGCTCGGGGGTAGAGCACTTGACTAGTAATGCACAGAGCTCTTGGCTTAATTTCTGTCAACGCAAAATGAAAACAGGAAGAAAAACCCACCAGAGATTAACAAACATCACTTGTAATCCAAACATGTCCCGAGTCTCTTCTACAGCTCTTCCCAACGTGCACAAGTGATGTCAGATATAGAAAAAACGGTGTGACTCTCTCTCCAAGAGAAACCCACAAAGCTTTTAGCCAAGAGTGATTCAGAAGTGGCCTGGGGAGAGGGTGAAGAGCTTGCCTTGCAGGCACAAGTCCTGAGTTTGAGCTCCAGATCCATAAAGCTGGGCATTATGCACATGCTTGTAATTAAAGAGCTGGGGCGGTAGAGACGGGCAGATCCCTTGCGGCCAGCCATCTTACCCTAATCAGCCAGCTCCAGGCCAGTGAGAGACAGTCTCACAAAAGGGAAAGATGGGTCTGGAGAGAGAGTTCAGAGGTGAAAGGAGCTTCCTTCTCTTCCAGAGGACTCAAGTTAGATCCCCAGCTTCCACATCCGGCAGCTCATAACCTCCTGTAATTCCAGCAGCAGAAGATCCAGAGGCTTCCTCTGGACTCTTTACGCACACCCACACCCGAGGCATTCATTCACCACCCTGCAAATAAACATTTTTTTTTTCAAGAAGGAGAGAAAGGTATATGGTTCCTGAGTAACGAGACTCAAGGCTGTCCTCTGATCTCTATGGCATGTGCGCGCACACACATGTGCACATGGCACACACACAAGACAGAGTACATATTAGAACAAAATCAAGAAGATCTGAATTGCAGAATAAATAAAACCGAAAAGACTTTTTCCACCGAGGACAGAGCACAGAGCAGGGAGGGGTCAGCCTCCCCATTGTGTGCTGGTAATGAAGAAGGTGGTTTGGGTCTGTGGCAGCTGCTATGGCTCTGACTGATATGGGGGACTTTTAAGTCCTTTTAACCCCGAGACTCTGATTCTGGGTTCATTTATTTCCTTGCTGACGTAATCTTTGCCTTTCTCAGCCCTTCTATAGCCAGCACTGCAGGGCCCAGAAGAGGTGCTGACCCAAGCAGAGGCTGTGGAAATGCTTGTTTACAGTGAGATACACTATCTTGGTTCCCCCATCTGTCGAGAATTACCAAGATGCTTTCTCCCCTTATGGTTGGAAAGTACCCTGTGTTGGTCTGCAGTCCCTTAAGGAGCAGGTGGCTGTCCTGTCTCTTGGTCTTTCCCCATTACATTTCCCGCCTTTTACTCTTCTTTTCTTGCATAGTCATTTCAAAACGTGAGCTGTTCATGCTGTACCCGGCACTGTACTGCAGGGAACTTAGCCGCTGGGACGGCTGTTGGTCCAGCTCTGTACTTGGTACCCATGGTGACTGGACTGCCCAATCACACCTGCTGTTTTCTTTTGTCACTATAGGTTTTTAAGTTTGATACCATCTCGGAGAAAACATCCGATATGATCCACTTCTTCTTTGCCAAACTGAACTGCCGACTCTATCGAAAAGCCAACAAGTCCTCCAACTTGGTAGCAGCAAACCGCCTTTTTGGAGACAAATCCCTTACCTTCAACGAGACCTATCAGGACATTAGTGAGGTTGTCTATGGAGCCAAGCTCCAGCCCCTGGACTTCAAGGTGAGTTGTAGATGTCCGAGTCCTCTCCACTCACACTGAGAAGGGAGAGAAACACGATCCAAATTAATACTGTTATACTTGCCAATGGCTGGTGGAGGCTGAGGATGAATCAAAACCCTTGGCACACTAACCTTTACTCCAGACTTCAGAGAGCAACGGTACTCACGCCTTCTGTTATAGGGGGTACTCTAAAGAAGGTTTGTAAGACACTACTTTTTCATTTAATCTTACCAAGCTCACATATGTCATGGTAAAATAAAATTGATACATGCCCCCTTGGAGACTCATGAAGCACCCAAGCCTATAAAGGATAACACAACAAAGAAATACCTTGACTTCTGTCTTAGTTACTGTTCTGTTTTTGTGAAGAGATACCCCGACCAAGGTGACTCTTAAAAAAAGAAAGCATTTAACTGGGTGCTTGCTTACGATTTCAGAGGGCTTGGCCCATTTTCATCATGGTGGAAAGCGTGGCAGCAGACAGGCAGCCATAGGCCTGATCACAAGCAGGGAGAGAGACTGAGGCTGGCATGGGCTTTTGAAACCTCAAAGCTGATTCCCAGTTACATATTTCCTCCAGGAAGGACACACCTAATCCTTTCCAAAAAGCCTTCATCAGCTGGGGACTAAGTAAGCAAACATATGAGCCAATGGGGGCTGTTTCCATTCCAACCACCAAGCTTCATTCTGTCAGCATTTTATTTCACTCTATAGCCCTAGCTAGCCTTGAACTCACTCTGTAGACCAGGCTGTCCTTGAACTCACAGAGATTCATCTGCCTCTGCCTCCCAAGTGTTGGGATTAAAGGTGCACACCACCACCACCACCACATTTTCTAAACTTATTTGACTACACAGGAGTACTCCTCCCATCCTCTTATCACGTCATCACTCATTCCTTCCCATTCATGATCATGTTTGGAGATGATTGCTCAAGCGAGTTTAGGTTTTCCAGCATCAGAGTAGATAACGCCGGGCCTTCTGCCCTTCAGACTGTATTCCTCGTCCTTCTTTCCTGATCCTTGGTCTCCTCTTTCTTTCTCTTCTAACATTTATTAGTGGGCTGGTTCCTGGTTTGACTGCTGGCATGACAAAAGATTAACCATTGGAAAACATAAATGACAGTGTATCCGATGTGTGAGGCTTCCTCATGTGGGCTAAAGTGGTGACCTCTCAACCACTGGCAGAGAGCAGAGAAATGGAGAACAAAATACATTGTGCAGGGGGGACCTGAAATTCAAGGGTAATTGAGTTGCACAGGTCACAGGTTACTTCTATTTATTTATTTATTTATTCATTTATTTTTCCATTCAAAAATGTACACTTCCTCCGCTCCTCCCATTCCCCTCCCGCTCCCCCACTCACCCTCCTTGTTTTCTTTAGGAAAATGCAGAGCAATCCCGAGTGAGTATCAACGACTGGGTGGCTAATAAGACTGAAGGCCGCATCAAAGACGTCATCCCCCAGGGGGCCATCAACGAGCTCACAGCCCTGGTGCTGGTCAACACCATTTACTTCAAGGTACTCCAGCTGGTCCTGGAGAGACCCAGGGACTTCCCCTCACTATGAAGCTCACCCTCTTCCACATCTTGGGGCATGTGTGTCAGATCCCTCCTGAGAAATGGTCCGTCCATGATCTAGGCAACCATCTAAATTTTTGAAGAGCCCAGCGGTCTTAGACATGTGAACATGGGTAGAACATGTGAACTACAACCCACCATCCTTCAAGGCTAACAAACTTTTGCACTTGTATGACAATTTCTGCCGTGCAATTAATGTTTTCTTTTTTGTCTTCCTCTTCCTTTTTTAAAATTTGAGACACAGTATTATGGTATTATGCATCTCTGACTGTCCTGGAAGTTGCTAAGTAGACAAGGCTGGCGTCTAGAGATCCACATGCCTTTGCTTCCTGAGTGCTGGAATTAAAGGCGTATGCTATCAAACTATGCTCAGTTAATGGATTTAAAATCTGAGACAAAATGATTTTACTGATGGATTTCTCCACTAGAGCAACTTCTATTGTATACAGCTCCTTGGGATTCTGAAGGTCCAAGTACTAGGCTCACCTCAGACTCAGAAGGGGCCTGTGATGTGACCATGTATATGGCTTGCTTTCCTCAGAGTCCAGGGGTCTAACGACCACTCCAGTTTTATTACATTTGAGAAGGAGAGGGACACCATGGACACTCTGAGGACCATTCCTGCAGAGTAGCTGGAATTGTGACATTTTTTTTGTCCTTAGACATGCAATGTTGGTGCTTCTTCTTCCTCCCTGTGGCCCAGGGACTTAGCCAGTCACTGCTAGTGTCAATCACTCTGCCACTTGGAGTTCCCCTCTCCTCCAGAACAATAGTCTGCATTTCCACAACATGTTGTCACCCTACAGTTTATGGGACAAGTGGCTATTTATTAGAACAATAGACTGCATTCCCACAGCATGTTACCCTACAATTTGCTAGGGTAACTCTGATCTTCCTGCCACTGCAAGTGAGACCTTGGGCCATTTATGTAGTATGATTTTTTGTTGTAAATCTTGACTTCTTGTTTGTAAGTATATGATTTTTTTCTCTTGTTTTTGTTTTTTTTAAATATTTATTTATTTATTATGTATACAATATTCTGTGTGTATGTCTGCAGGCCAGAAGAGGGCACCAGACCTCATTACAGATGGTTGTGAGCCATCATGTGGTTGCCGGGAATTGAACTCAGGACCTTTGGAAGAGCAGGCAGTGCTCTTAACCACTGAGCCATCTCTCCAGCCCCTCTTGTTTTTGTTTTTTTGAGACCAGATTTCTCTGTGTAACTGCCCTGACTGTCCTGGAACTCACTTTGTAGACCAGGCTGGCCTCAAACTCAGAGATCCACCTGTTTTTGCCTCCTGAGGGCTAGGATTAAAGGCGTGTACCACCGCCACCCGGCCCAAGTATACAAATTCTTGTGAGTTACTGGGGAGATATTCGGGACTTTCCTACGGCCTGATTTCTGCATCTACAAAATGGTAATGAGAATTCACCTACTTCACAGGATTACCAAAGGGACAGAGTAGGCGAGCACGTGAAATGCGCAGCGAGGTATTTGTACCCTCTGAGTACACAGTTAACATTCTAAAGCCATTGGCTCTTTCTAATGCCTAACTTGCTGGTGGGAAACCAGCACTCAAAAGAGTTAAATGACTTATTGCAAGAGCAAAGAGTAAGAAGATGAGAAAGACTGGTGCAGGAAGTCAGGCAGGATGTATTGTCTGCCTGGCAGGATTTCCAGACAGATTCCTGGGCTTGCTGTCTGAGTTTGCCCTCTAATTCATCAGGGATAGAGCAGTGAGCTAGGATGTTTTTTATCTTGTTTTATGATTCTCCAAACTGATATCTTTCAGGGCCTGTGGAAGTCAAAGTTTAGCCCTGAGAACACAAGGAAGGAGCTATTCTACAAGGTTGACGAGCAGACATGCCCAGTGTCTATGATGTACCAGGAAGGCAAATTCAAATACCGGCGTGTAGCAGAAGGCACCCAGGTGCTGGAGCTGCCCTTCAAAGGCGATGATATCACCATGGTGCTCATTCTGCCCAAGCCTGAGAAGAGCCTGGCCAAAGTGGAGCGGGAACTCACCCCAGAGCTGCTGCAGGAGTGGCTAGACGAGCTGACGGAGACCATGCTTGTGGTCCATATGCCCCGCTTCCGCACTGAGGATAGCTTCAGTCTAAAGGAGCAGCTGCAAGACATGGGCCTTGTGGATCTGTTCAGCCCCAAGAAGTCCCAACTCCCAGGTTGGTAAAGGAGAAAACTGCCTCCTCTCTACTCCAAGGTGGTGAAGGCTTGACCACATGTGGGGGAGTCAAGGAAAGCACAGAGAAGACTGTCAAGTCAGGATATCTGGGTTCTGATCTGGGCTCTGTGGTAAACTGTGGCAATCCCTTGCCCTTCCCAGCCCCACTGTGAAAGGGGGTGTTTCCAGGAGTCCAGTCAGTACTGTCATCCTATGAATTTGTATCTAATAGAGGAGATACAAGTGGGGAGGAATCGGGAAAAGCATCGGAATTCAAGGAGACAGACATTAAAAGCAAGGCACGCTGAGTCATGCCTATAATTCCAGCACTTGGGAGGTAGGGCAAAAGATAGTGATCCAGGCTAGCCTGGGCTATTTAAGAAGCCCTTGTCTCAAAAGTAAAAATAAAAAAGAGGTTAGAGAGATGGCTTAGCAGTTAAGAACGTAGATCATTATTGCAGGAGACCCAGGATCAGTTTCCAGAATCCAAGGCAGACATCTCACAACTTCTTGTTAATCCAGCTCCAGGGGATCTGATTTCATAGGTGCCTACACACACACACACACACACACACACACAGAGAGAGAGAGAGAGAGAGAGAGAGAGAGAGAAATAAGAAAATAAATCTTGAATAAAATAAAAATGAGATGACAGTAAATTAAAGCTAAAAAAAATGGACCTTAAAACACTTTTTATTTTTTCTGTTTTTGGTTGAGTCAGGGTCTTATGCAGCCCAGGCTGGCCTGGGAACCACTGTGCAGCTAGGACTGACTGTGCTGTTTCCACCCCGAGTGCTGGGATTATAGGTGTGTGCCACCACGTCTGGCAATATCTTTTGCTTATCCATACACTTATCTGTGTATGGGGATGCACAAGTGCCACGGTGTGCGTGTGTGTGTGTGTGTGTGTGTGTGTGTACAACTTTCAGGTGTTTAAAGCCATTTGTATCCCAGGGATCAAATTCAGGTTGTCAGGGTTGGGGGCAAAGTGCTCTTACCCAATGAACAATCCCATTGACCCCCGGATATCTCTATCAAAAAGAAGCCCAGAAGTGGGCATGGTGGCACACAACTATAATCTCAACACTCTGGGCTGAGGCAGGATGACAGTTTAAGGCCAGTCCGGGCTACCCAAAGAGACTCTATCTTAAAAAGGTATCAACCAGGTAATTGGATTTTATCTTTACTGAGTTACCTTTAAACTAGCTATGAAAGCCAAACCTCTCAAAATGTTACCAGTCTGGGAAAACATTTTTATTTGAGATAGTCAGGTTTTTCTTTTAGAACAGAGTCCCACCCTTCCACCTTCCCCAAGAAGCTGACATGAGATTAAATTCACAAGATCCAGGCCAAAGAAGCCCAAATACCTCCATTTTTAAGAGGTATCCATTGAGGGGGGTGGAGGTTATTACTAGGGGAGTTCAGCATTCTACTTCTCAAACCACCCAAAGGGATGTCTTTATTCAGACTGATCTCCTGTGTGGCCTGGAGTCAAATCACACACCCTCTTTCTTGATCTTCCTTTCTAGGGATTGTTGCAGACGGCAGGAATGACCTCTATGTCTCTGATGCATTCCACAAAGCCTTTCTTGAGGTGAGTCCATCTCCCTCCACCTCTGCCTTTTCTGCATTTTATCTGGAGTTTCTCAGTCTATTTGGAGTTTCCTGCTGTGCAGTTTCCTAAAAAGGCAGACACAGCAGGTCTGTTAGCAGCAGGACAGAACTGGGAAGAGACAAGTTTACAGTATTCCTTTAATCGTGCACGCAGAGAAGCTTGAAGCCTTCTCCATGAGGTCTGCCTGGCATTCAAGCTCCAGCTGTTTGACCTTCTCTCCTGCCAGAGAAGCATATTTAGAGGGAAGCCCAAGGAAAAGGAGCCAGCACAGGTCACTGAGAGGGAATTCTGGGATGTTTCAGGAATATGGAAAGCATGGGGCAAAAGACTAAAACCAAATCTGGACAGAATGGGGAGGGGTGTGTGTTTAAGTGAAGCGGGTGAAGAGCAACTGAACCTAAGAAAGGGGTAACTAATGAGTGTGGCTCACCTTAGTGTTCCCAGGCATGTTCTAGGAGACTATTGTGAGAGACGGCATTTCAGGAAACCTAGTTAGGTAGGCACATGTTGATCCTGAGAGATTAACTACACACAATAGCGTGCTGAGATCTGAGAAGTCTCCCCCAACCGAGGCGAGTACAGAACTGTGTTAGGATAAGTCGTGGCAGCTTGTAGTTCTGGTTCTCAGATACTCAAGTGTGGCTCCTTAGCATCAGGTAGAGATCTTTACCCTTGGAGACTGATAGGGGTGGGAGGAGCCTAAGAATCTGTTTCTTTACACAAATCCTCAGAGGGTTTTCACATACATTCAGGTTGGACACCAAGTGATGTAGGCTGTTCAGGAAATGGGCCAACATTAGACAAAGTTTACAGGACTTGAGTTTTTTAAAAAAAAAAAAAAAAAAAAAAAAAAAGGCTGCAATCAGAGAGAAAGGTTCAGAGTAAGTGCCAGAGAACTAATTGTAGGAGCCAAGCTCAGTGGGATCTGAGGGAAGTAGAAGGATGAGGGACAAGAAGTGGGAGTCAGCTATATCTTATCTTCACACTACTTGGAAATTTAATCCTAGCATGAACATGGAATAGATGTGGGGCAACCAAAGGGAAGGAAAAGAAACATTAACCGCCCCACAAAGCTTAATGGTCCAGGAGAGGAGGCAAAGGCAAGAGGATTGCTACAAGTTCCAGACCAGCCTGGTCTATAAAGAAAGCGAAAAGCCAGCAAGGGGGTATATAATAAGACTGTTTAAAAGATACCAGAGTAGGTGGCTGATACAGGAGGATCCTGAATGACAGGCTAGCTTCAGCTACTAGAAAGCATATCAAGATCCTATCCCAGAGAAGACAATAACATATAATGTTATCAACGGTCAGATTTTTCGGAAGGCAGCCCACCCTTCGGATGTGTCATTCAAACACCGTTTGCTCAGGTTATTACTCCAGGAAAAACATCTCATCCAACTGGAGGACTGTCTTTTCATAAGGCACAGCTTCTGTGTAGCTGTTTGGGGGTAGTTATACCTAGGATTTTTTTATACTCCAAGAGTGAATCTATTTCAATTATAGATGTTCAATTATAATGAATTTCTATTAGCAGCTGGTTCAAAACAATGCCCTATGATAGCGTTCCACCAAGCTACCAGATTGTGACTTCTAGTTAGATAGATAGGTTCCACAGCTACCAGACTGTGACTTCTAGTTCAGGAATCACACTTGTGCAACTCTCACAAGACTTTGGATGAGCCCAGTGCATTACATCCACTGAATGTAAGAATGAGGAGGTTTCTGGAGGGAACCATTTGTGTCCAAGCCATATTAAGGCTGAAGAGATGGTTCAGTGGTTAAGGGCACTGCCTTAACTTCCAGAGGTCCTGAGTTCAATTCCCAGCAGCCACATGGTGGCTCACAGCCATCTGTAGTGAGATCCGGTGCTCTCTTGAGGAAGAGACCTGGTCGGTCAGTCGTCCTCATCAGCTTAAGACCATGAAACCCAATATGGAGAAGTTCAATGGAACCGCTACATCTGGGCTGCCCATGCATGCTTCAGCATTGTCAGGGCTTACATTTCATTCATACTAACTACTGGAAAACATCAGTAAGAGGAGCTGCAGGGTCTGTGTGTCTGTAGATTAGCAGGGTAGCTAATGCTTGTTTCCTGTGTGACCTGCAGGTGAATGAGGAAGGCAGCGAAGCAGCAGCGAGCACTGCTGTCGTGATTGCTGGCCGTTCACTGAACCCAAGCAGGGTGACCTTCAAGGCCAACAGGCCCTTCCTGGTCCTTATCAGGGAAGTTGCTCTGAACACTATTCTGTTCATGGGGAGAGTGGCTAACCCTTGTGTGAACGAAAACAGTCTTACTCTTTGACCTTTTCCTTTTGCTGTTTGTGACCAGAAGTAAAAATAAATATGGCTGCCACCTCACAAGAATGGGCTCTTCCACTCAAAACGAAGACAAGAGAGGAAGCGCAGATTAAGATGCTGTTGGGGAATCTGGGAAAGTGACATTACCAATTTTTCTCTACCCAGTAACAACATCTGGGTAAATAAATGGGAAGAGGCCAGCCATGGCGGCACACACCTATATCCTAGACTCTAGAAGACAGAAGCAGAAGGATCAACAGTTGAGGCTGGACTGCATAGGGAGAGATCCTGTCCCAAGATGACTCCCTTTCCCCAAAAGTAGAACAGAAAACCATAAGAATAAAAGACGTAAATATGTTACTATTTCATCTTGGAGGAAAGCAGGCTTCTTGAAAGGGTAGAGGGCCTTAAATTCTCAGTCTTCCTACCATACTACAAAATTCTAAGAGTATAAACAAATTAATCTCTCTATATAGAAACGACAGAGATTCAAATTTGAGTATTAAACCTTTTATTTCTCAAACCACTCACATGCATATGTTCTTATACAGTGTCAAAATAAAAAGGAAATGCATTTTTATACAAACAGAATTTCAAGTATACATTAATAGACTTTTCAGATTACTAGCCAAGTTGCTAAGGTTTTATTCACATTGTTCTTAAAGCTGTTCAACAAGAAAGCTTTTGCTAACTGCTTTAAATATGTTTACATAAACCCACATCTTAACTCTTCTTTAATTTCCCTCCCCTGGCCCTCCTGCCCTCCCCCCTCCCCGACACAACAGGGCTCTAGGAGACATGCTAGCCCTCCAAGAACTTTTGGGCTTGTCACCAGGGGAAAGACAGAATCTACAGGAGGAGAGTCAGAGGACACCTGCTAAATTAAGGGGAAATGAACCCGGTACTTAGACATGATGTAATTCTGAATAATATTTTAGTGCTGTTGTATTTTCATTTGATTTTTAATCAAAAAAAGAAAAAAGCTTACCACAAATAACACAGACTTTTCTTTTTATACTTTGGTAGCTAAAAAAATAATTCAATAAAAATAAAATTTCCCTCAGGAAAAAATTCCAAAATCAGGGTAAGTATTTTGGACTCTTTTATTTAGTGGTTCCTTCCCCCTTTGGCAGGAGTGCTCGGTGGCAGTTCACAAACAGATGGTACTTTGTGTTCACTTTAAGATACTTGTGACTGGGGCAGCAGTTGCCTAGCACGTGTAAGGCCCTGGGCTCAATCCCCAGCACTAGGGGGTAGAGGCAAAGATATTTGGTTAAATCTTACAGGGTCTGGCAAAGAGTTTCCTTCTTCAGCTCTCCTCCTGAGTTCTGGCTTAAGGGCCAGAAACAGCCACACTCCTTAGGAATTAAAGTGCATACTTTTTGTGGTTTATATATATATATATATATATATATATATTTTATTCTCAGTAAAGGGGTGGAAGGGTATACACTGACGTGATGGTTAAAGGAGGCTGGGGAGAGAAACCCTACTCCTATATAGATCCTTATAACAAAGGTCACAACAACGACAAAACACAAAGTCTTAGAAGATAAGATGCACACAGTCCGCCCGGCGTTCTCAGAGGTGTGGGAGCACTTCCCAGAGCACCCTTTTCTGAGGCATCTTTACTATGAACGGAGGAATTGTAGATGAAAGACAAATCTCAAACGTTAAGACTCTTCATAGGAAGAAAACTGACTGGTAGGTTCTTATAGTTAAAAATATACCCCATTCCCGTCCAGAACTAATGTCTTAGAAAGTGATTGTCTGTTTCATATGCATTCAGTGTCCTTGATGAACAGCCATGGAAACTGTCTAGGTGAGTCTGCTGCTTAGAACTGCTACTGTGTCAGCTTCAGAAACAGGAAGAGACCGCAGTTGTTCTTGCTGTCACTCAGTAGCAGCTGAAGTGAAACCTTTCTGTGATTTCTTAAGGTGACAGCTATAGCTCAAATCTACTTTTCTGTTTTCTTGTAAATGTTTTACAGTTTCTTGGGAAGAAAACCCTCAAAGTTCTCAAAGAGAAGTTAATGCTACATTATAAGCTGCATGAAGAAGTAATGGGCTCAGGAAGAGGGATCTTGTCCTGGATTCTGGCCTCTGAGTCCAGTGTGACCTACTTTTCACAGTGACCAGTGGGAAGGCACAGTGCCAGGGACAGGTAGCTGGGAGGCAGCTGTCACCCATTAAATAAGCACCATAGAGTAGTTGGAGCTCCTTCAGAACAGGCCCATCTGAAGGAGACCAGCTTTCTGCTGCACTGACTTTTCTCTTCCAGTCCTCAGCCTTTCAGAGGCAGCGCCTGAGTGAGCCCCATCCTAAGACAGAAGCCAGGAGATATACGTGCTCTGCAACTGCTTCCCTCACTTAGGTAGCTACAGTGCTGCTATTAAGATGTCCTAAGGGGAAAGGAAGCCACTGGGCCCTGAGTAAAAACCCACCAGACAGAAAACAATGCCACAGGCTAAAGCTGTGAAGAGACACTGCAGGTGGGAATGGACGCTGAGAGCACAACCCCTTGGCCTAGAGTTCAGCAATGACTTTTGGTTTTACTGGGGGCCAGGAGATGGAGCAAGGTCACACTGTGATCAGACCAGCAGTTGCTTAGCTATTTCAGAAAGGATTTGGATCTGCAACTATATAGTCCAGTGGTAGAATGCTTGCCCAGCATGCTCCAGATTCTTGGGTTTAATACCCAGTGCTAAAAGAAAGACAGGCAGGGGCAAGAAAGCAAGAGGGCAAGGCAGAGTGAATGAATGAACGAGCATGACAACACATTAGAGCAGAAGATGATCTGACTTTGCAGTAGTGCTGGAAATTTCTTTTACCCCTTGCTCAAAATATCAAAAGCTATCATATTTACCTTTTACTGCCACTTCCCCACTTTCCTCTTTTGTCTCTTCAAAACTTTAAAAGTCCAGTGTGGTACAATTTACACAAAGTTCACCAACTTTCCCAGTACTCCACAAAGTTCTCCAACATGAAAACTGCTTTCCTAGCTCACTCCCTACCAGCAAGAGTTCAGAGCTTCCTGAGGCTAGGGAGGCAGCTGGGTCTCTGATGCCGCGAGATTTACAGCCAGTCAACACCAAAGCCTTAATGCTACTCAGAACAAGTGTTCCTATTCTGATGCTATAAGTCCTCCACTCTCATCAGCTTTTTCCCTAACCCTCCTTTTCTTCCACCACCTATTTCTGAAGTACAAATTATCAATTACTAGTGGGCAATATATGAACAGAATTTTCTGTGTCCAGGATTTGCTGAGAGTCTGTCCCACTGAACTTGCGCTTGAAGCACACATTTCTTTCAGCAGATAGAAGCTGCTTCTTAGTAGCTACTTTGAAAAGCAGTTTTCATTTTTTATGGCTGCTGGAACAACTCTTCCCTCCCTATCATCACAGGTAAGGTTGCCACAGGCAGGTAATAAAGTGTCATGGCCATTACACATCTCTTCTACTTAGGGTAAGAACGGAAGCTATGGAATCTCACTCTGGAATAACTGGGTTAGGTCTTTTAACATTCTAGAACATAGTGTTAAAATGTCACATACTAGTCAGAAATAATTAAGCCTTGGCTAGTTCATTTCATTCAGAAAGAAACAGCTAGGGAAAAGGAAGAGTCCCTTGACAAAGAAATTCTACTAGGCTAAGAGACAAATAATCCAAAGGGTTATGATTGCCCAAGACAGGATTATTTTTTTCTCCATTAAGTAGCAACGCAGCTTGTTTGATTTACAAAGAAAAGGAGCTGCAGACAGCTTGGACTTGGACTTGTGTTTCTACAGTACACTGAAGTGCTGCTCTATTTCAGAACTGAGCAAGCTTCACTCAAGTCACATGTGCAGAGGAAAAGAACTCTAGAGAACAGGCCTTGAAAACTGCTTTCATTTACTTACGCACACTTAGTATTTGGCACAGAGGATACTATATCGATTGTAGCATTTCCCTCCAGACATACTCTGAGAAGAAACAGATGAGGCTGAGCTCTCTGGCCCACTGCCAGCTTTAAGAGAGACAGCAGCAAAGGTACCTGGGTCAAGAAAAATAGTTCCAGGCATTTTTCTCCAAGGAGTTCTTTCTCTTTTCAAAGAACAATAATAAACGAACAAAATCCACTTCCATTTCACTTGGGGAGTTGGGGAGGTTATCCAGCCCAAGACCAGGAATGATTACCCACAAAGTCACTTCCAACCCTGGCAGGTTTCTATTGTTGTCCAGGGAATTGAACCCAGGGTCTTGTGCATGCTAAGTAGGAGCTCTCCAAGACCACCCTGCACGCCCACTCCATCCCTAGAGAACTTTTGAAAGCCTGGGCTGCAAAACAGACCAGTTAAATGTGAATGTCTGGAAGGGGTTTCAGGTGATTTTAAACGGACAAAAGTCAGTGCTCATCCAAGCCAGAGAAGAGAGTAAGAATTTGTTTCCTTCTAGATTCGTGAATTTAACGTAACTTAGAAAACTACAGGGCACATCTTTACTTTTTTCTTTCCAAATAAATCAATTTGACCAAAAAGGCAACAACACTGACAAAGTATTAAGTAAGAATTAAGCATGTGTTTTAAAGTATAGTTTATAGCAAGACATCAGGTGGCAGGCCTAGGCCAAGACTGTGCAAAAACAATATGCCAGAGGAAGAAACTTTCCTAAGTACAACTTAATTCCTGAGTCTGAAATACTAGCATGGCTAAGACTGAGAGCTACTCTATGGTTTAGCAATGAAAGAGTTGTGAACAGACTCAATATATTTGTTTTACCTACCTTTCTTCCTGGAGAACATATACTGAATTTACTCATAAATTGTTCACAGTCACTTACATGGAATGCGTCTCTCCCTATTGGGAATTTCATATTGTGTTCCCTACCTACCCTTACCTCATGTCACAAGAAAAGAAAACAATACCCAGAAAAAAGTGGCAACCCTAAAGATCTGAAAATGGATAATTCACTGATTTTCATTTCTAACCAGAGAATTCCTGGTTTTGGACATTATAACCCAGACTGAGCACGAGAATGAAAAAGTAGTAAGCACTCTAGGATAGCTGGTAGAGCCAGCAGTTAGTC